AGGGATTTGCTGGGGAGTGGGGGAGGATGAGAATAGAATGGCTCCTTGAGGATTTACCTATATAGACCTAGAAGTGTCCCCAAGGACCAGCTGGTATGAGGGGCAAGTAAGAGCCAGGGAGGAGGGGAGGGGAGGAAAGCAGGAGAAAGAAGGGGTACCCCCAAAACTGCAGAAATCAGGTAATAGCTTGGGAGGTGGGAGGGCGTTTCAACTCCATCTACAATTTCCACCAGCCATCCCATAAACACACAATCTAATTTTTAGAGGAGTGTTTCCTTTGCAAGTTCAGCTTCAAGATAGGCTCCCCCTCCCCATTCCTGTCACCCACATAGAAATCCAGGACTACTCCTGGGGCTAGGTAAGGAGAGAGGAAAATGCCAGACCAAGGTCAGAGCTACAGCATCATCAGTCTTTAATAACTTATATGCAAATGCTAAAAAATAGTTAATAATAATACAGAGGACACACACAGCTTATAAAAACAGTTGTGGATCTACAAATGTGGAGGGGTTCTTGGCACATTCACACAGACACAAAAATAAAGACTATTGTGACTAGCATCCCTAGAAAAGCAGCCTGCAGAGACACCCCAGTTTGGGGGGGGTCAGGGGAGGGATAACCCTCATTCATCCCAGATGCATTCTCCAAACAACCTTCTTTTGCCCCAAAACATATCTAATCGAAAAGCCAGAGAAGAAAAAGAAGAAATGGGGTCGAGGTAGAGTCACAGTTTACATTTAAGCCTCCCCAGTCCTGCAGCCCCCATTTCTCCGGAGGTGAGGATGCGGGAAGGATATGAGACCTCCCCTCTCCCATCCCCTCCCCAGTGCTGCACCAAAACAGGACCCCCAATGTGCTCCTTGGTCCTTCACTGAGGTGGACAGGTCCCGCACCCCAGAGCTGAGTGACGGGCCACAGGCTCCGCCTGGCTGTCCAAGTGTGGAGACCCCTACTGCTGAGGAGGGGACAGCCTCGGGTCACCGTCTCTTCTTGCCTACCCGGGCTGCCTTCTTCCTCTTGAGGATCATCTCGTACAGGCGTTCAAGGCCCGGCTGCAAGCCCAGCCCATCCACAGCGCTGCAGCCTTGCACGTGGGTGAGAGTGGCTGCCGCAAGCTCTCGCACTGCAAGCCTCTTCTCAACCTCTGCCGCGCTCAGTGCCCCAGGCTGATCCTGCTTGTTGGCCAGCACCAGCACAGGCACACCCTGGTTGTCCGAAGCCCGGCTGATTCGGTGCAGCTCCACCTTGGCCTCCTCCAGGCGCTCAGCCTCGGTGGCATCCACCACAAACACCAGCCCATCTGTCCGACGTGTGTAGGAGCGCCACAGGGGCCGCAGCTTCTCTTGCCCCCCAACATCCCACACTTGGAAGGTGATGCTGCGGGACCCTCCCAGGGGCACCCGGATCTTCTCTGTGTTGAAGCCTTTGGTGGGGACGCTCTGGACAAACTCCTTGAACTTGAGGCGGTAAAGGAGCGAGGTCTTTCCAGCAGAGTCCAACCCAATGACCACGACATGCAGGGCCTGGAAGTGGGGCAAGAAAGAGGAGGCAGTGGGCGCCATCTCTGTCAAGTGGTTCCCCATGGTGAGCTGCAGCTAAGGTGCAGGTCTTGGGGCACACGGTAGAATCAAGGACGTGGCTTCGATCTGCAGGCTCTGGAGACCACAGCTGGGTTATCTGAACAAGGAAAGGTCATGGGAGAAAAAGGGGGACATTTAACAATATACACGAAATTTGCAACTTCTAGATCCTTTCCTAAATCTGCCGCCCGTCCTTCCTTTTTAAAATTCCATGTTTTGTTTTGTTCTGTTTTGTTTTTTAAGCATAAGCAGCTACCAGTGTAACAGAGGTGCTCCCCTCTCTCGGGGGCGATGAGACCTAGAGAAACCCCCGGGTCCTGGACACAGGTGGGGGGGTGAGACCTCGACGGTTGGCTTCCCAAGCCTCTTCCCCGAGCTCTCGCGGCGCGGTAGCAGGCGCAGAGACCCTTATTCCCCAGGCGAGAATCTTCGCAGGAATGGGCAGGTCGGGCGGAGCTCCCAAATTAAGAGTTAGGGTACGGGCGCTGAGAACAGAGAGTAAGGCCCGTTCCCACCAGCCCTCCACGTCCCCAGGCAGTTGACACGCCTCTCCTTACACCGCGACCCCCTTCCCACCGTCCCGTAACACTTCGCCTGGCTCGGATCGCCGACTCCAGCTCCCCAGGTCCCGCACCGGGGCCACCTCAGCACCGCCAGAACAGCCCCTTTACCTTCCGTCAGCGGCACTCTCCCCGCGTCTCTCCGGACTAGCCACCCGACTCCAAGCGAAGTACCGCGGTGGCCGCCGCCTGCGCGCCGCCACCGCCGCCACTGCGGAGCGGTCCTGGGACTCGTCCTTAAAAACCCCCTTGACGTCACGCAGCCTGGGCCAATCAGCAGTCCCGCGGCAGCGGGGAAGGGCGGGGAGGGGCGGGGCAGGGAGATACGTGCACTGCAACCCAGACAACACATGGATGGTCGTCTGGTCAATTGGTGACCGTTTTATTTGATCTCTTCTACCATATTCTAATATTTGGAGGTAAACTCGGGATGGAAAATGGGAGAGACAACTGTGGCAGCGTTTAACTAAGAAAGAGAGGCAAAGAGCTTAGTACTCTATACCACGGCATACTCCTCCCCCAGAGAGAGAGAGAGAGAGAGAGAGAGCCACTCCACATGTACACTCCCTCCGCCAGGGTCTACTGGAGACGCTGACGAATCTTACTTCTTTATCTTTCCTAAGTCAGTGTTCAAACCTGTGTAAACCTGGAACATCATAAGACAGCTTAAGCCTAAACCCATTACCACTATTTATCTTCACAGCAGCCCATGAGGTGGGGACTGGTGCTGTCTGCATTCTACGGGGAAAGAAAAATTGCGAAGGGTTCAGTGACTTGTCTTAGGTTGCCTAGTCAGGAAATGGCTAACCTAGGAACTGAGTCTGGTCTGGGCCCCTGATGGCATAGCTATCCGTTCTCTCTCATTAAGGAGGCTATAGGTTAGGCATCCTCAGCTTAAATCCTTCAGGTGCTGGTTAGAGTGCTGACCAGAAGCAGATACCCCAAGGGCCCCCTTGTTCAAATAGTTAAAGAGAGAATTCTTCACTCCATAGGACTTTATTGACCTCATTCATACTGTGTGCTCTGCCAGAGAGACTATGGGAATATAGTCTGGCCTCATAGGGCTCACACTCTAGTGAAAAAAAAAAAAAAAAAACAAGACTGGCCACTGCAAGGAACACTGGACCTTTGTAAATCTGAGATATGTCCTTGTAGGACTTCAGAGGAGGGACAGACAGTGTGAACTGGAAGCTTTTGGAAAGGTTTCTGTAAGTTAATGAGTCCTGTGTGGGATTGGTGAGGAAGGGACAGGATTGAGTGGCATCCCCCCAGCCATTTCAGCCTGATACACTCCGGGCAGCCCTTAAAAGGAGATGTCACCAGGGGACAGTGTGACCAAAAGGATATCAGTGATGACCCTCAGGGAGGTAGGTTAAACTGAAGGAGGGGAGGAAGATCAAGGGAGAATAAGATTGTGACTTGAATATTTCCATTTTTGCCAGGAGGCTGGATTCTTACATTTATTATGTGATTCAATATTAAGCTATTTTAAAGGTTATATTTTAGGGGGATCAGAAAAAGAATGGCGGAGGGGGTACCTGGGTGGCTCAGTCAGTTAAGCGTCTGACTTCAGCCCTGGTCATGATCTCACGGTTTGCGGATCCGAGCCCTGAGTTGGGCTTTATACTGACAGTGAGAAGCCTGCTTGGGATTCTGTGTCCCTCTCTCTGGGCCCCTTCCCCTTGCGTGCACTCTCTCAGGCTCGCACACTCTCTCCCTCAAAATAAATAAACGTTTAAAAATGTTTAAAAAGGAAGGAAGGAAGGAAGGAAGGAAGGAAGGAAGGAAGGAAGGAAGGAAGAAAGAAAGAAAGAAAGAAAGAAAGAAAGAAAGAAAGAAAGAAAGAAAAAGAGTAGGGGAAGTCACAGCTAGACAGGAGGACCTAGCCCTTTCCTGCCTGCTAACCTCCCATCTGTTTAGCACCAGACTGCCTTGTGACCTCCTTCTTCCCCTCCCTCCTACAGACCCGGCCACCTGATGTCCCGGCAATGCAGGGAGCCTCCCTGAATCCCTGAAAACATCAAGACCTTGGGAAATTAGCGTCACATTCCATGTTAGTGTGTGGCAGATTGCCACTGGAGCTAAAACACAGAGGTGGCCTCTGTTAGGAAAGGGGAAGACAGAGCAGTCCACGAAGTTGGAAACCAGTACCGTGTTGAGTGGCCACTGCATGCCAGGCTCTGGTCTGAGAATTCTGCATACTTTTCCTTTTCAATTTTCTTAAAGTTTTCATTTCATTTTTTTTTTAAGTAGGCTCTACACCCAACCTGGGGCCTGAACTCACGACCCTGAGATCAAGAGCCCCATGTTCCGCCAACTGAGCCAGCCAGGTGCCCCATACGTTTCCTTTTTTAATACACAACTCAACCCAAGAAGTAAGTATGGTTACTCCAAAAAGAAGAAACAGAAACACTGAAAGTTTAGGTAATTTGTCCAAGGTCACCCTGCTAGAAATCGGCCAAACTTGGTTCTGAGCAAATGTTGCAATGGCTGTGAAACTGAAAACATACAGAAGCAAAAAACACACAGATCACTGTATGTTTCTTCTGCAACCTTTGAAACTTCTTGAACATTTCTCCTGTATCTCCTGGGCCTCACAGCCACCATGGAAATTGTCACCTGATTATCTCATAAAAGCAACGAAGCTGGCAATCCCAGCCCACCTTCATCTTTCTTGTTTGCCAGAGGTGTTGATGAACAAATGGGAAGGAGGAGGTGGGGCAGGGAGAGGTGAAGGAAGGGGCCCAGCTTGTCAGGGCAGCACTGAGCCAGTGGCTTACCCCAATTTGTCCCCTTTAAATAGGAGCTCCAGTTCCCTCCACCCACCCCCCTCCACCCTGGAAGCCTTCTTCCACTAATGACCATCTTCCTTCCTGGCAGTCTCACCTCTGCAGCCCTTTCTCTCCACAAGATCACAGCCCAAGACTTACTGTATTGGGGTATTCACTACAGAGAACATTTGAACATTCGTCCATTGAACAATCATATACGGAGGGCCTGTTAGATTCAGAGCATACAGCCCAGGATAAGGACCTGCCTGCATGGAATGTACATTATAGTGGGGAGTGAGGAGAGACAGGCAATGAATAAGCATATAATTGCAGGGGTGCCTGGGTGGCTGTCAGCTAAGCGTCCCACTTCAGCTCAGGTCATGATCTCATAATTCACGAGTTCAAGCCCCATGTCGGGCTCTGTGCTGACAGCTCA